CCGGATAATAACCGCTCACTTAGTAAACATTTAAACGGATTCGCATAGTTTTTCTCAAAAGTAGTGCATATGTCATAATAAGTAATAGAACACTTCGTTAATACCTAAAGAATTACTTTTTGTTTGTGTTTTGTAGATTAGAGTAGCCGGCCACTATCCGAATAACCGAATATAAACACACAATTAGGAGTATTGGGATATCCGGGTGTTCTATTTCTTTATTCAGATATTCGAATATACCCATAGTCAAAAAACCCGGATAGAACTTCCAGCTCTAGCATGTCTTCTTCTTGCTTGCCACTGTAACCGCATAAGCGATTCTGGCCGAGTTCAACAAGCCCGCCAGTCGTTTCTTTCCTGTGCCAACTGCTGCCTTTTGCAAATGCTAAGTGAAGCCCTTCTCTACTTAGTCTTTCCATCTCAGTGGGGGCCTCCCTATTCCTCTGCTTCGAGTTGAGTACATTCAGACATGACCAAGCCAGCGGAGTCACTGTATTTTAATTCGCTGCACTATGTTCATGCCGTTGTAAATCTCATACAGCTCATCGTTCCATAGTCTGCGGTATTCGGCGTCGTCAACGCGCAAAATGCAAGAGCCGCCTTATCAGATGTTTTCAGTGTCCATGCTTCTGCGCCATACACCAGCAGCGGCATTATACAAAATTTAGTTTCTATAAGATATCCCACCAGTTCAGTCCGCTCGCATTCATCAAAGCTCTTTCCATTCTGAAAAAATAGGTTTCTTTCTAACGAGACCTACTTCAACCTTCGTATCAACTTCATACTTAATATGTACCTGGAATTTAGGTTACCACTTGAAGCACTGCGTACTACTTTTGTAAGCGTTTGAATCAATTCAACGGGCCAATCTGAAAGAAAAACGAAATAAAATGACTCACCGTGTTGTTATTGCAAATATTTTCTTTTTCAATGGGTATTACAAAAATAACTTTATGAAAAGTTAATTATGTATTTTTTTTTCAAATAGCGTTTAGGATTATGCATACTTCGCAAAACTTCGCACAACCATTTGTACCAGTGCAATAAAAATGTAACTTAAGAAAATGTGCAGCAAAATCTAAACTCAACAGATCACTAAGTTTTTAAAAGTTTTGCTAATTTCTGGGTAATGGAATACATACAAAGTACATACGAAATTACAGTTTGAAGTTTATGCGAAGTTGTGCGAAGTTATGATAAGTATGCATCATCAGACGGTTTGCGGTTAATTGCTGTGCCTTTTTGCTACGCCCAAATTCTTAACTAACTAACTACGAGTACTTTGCACATTTTCAAAGTAGAACGGACTAAATAAAAAACTTTGAGCTCCACTGGAATATTGTCTGAATATCGTCGCCACCGCTCTGAAAGATGTAGTTTTCTTCACATCCTCTGTCTTAGCATCAACATGCCTATCAGGCGGGGAATACTCTTAGACGGCTCTACAAAATCTGTTTGCCAGACTTAGCAACGCCGTCACTAAGAAACAATTCGTCTTGGGCATTTTTGTAGACGTTTGGGGTGCTTTTGACAATGCCACCTTCGACAACATGTGCAACTCGGCTCTAAGTCATGGAGTCGATTCTGAGCCGGCAAATTGGATTCGCTCAATGCTTGCGCAGAGGTTCGTTAGGATTCAGGCAGACGGGCGTCAATATATTACGTTACGAGTTCATTGGGGCTGTCCTTAGGACGGTGTGCTTTCTCTCTTGCTCTGGTGTTTAGTGATTGGTTACTAAAGTTATCTACGCCCAGGCTACATAGACCTAATTACAGGCCCTTTTGGACAGTTGTGAGCAGGAAAGCCCAAATATCACTGAGTGTGATTGACACTTGGTTTCGTGAGACTGGCTGTCCGCTAACCCAGCCAAACCTAGTGTCGTTCTCTACTCTTCACTAAAAAAAAGAAGGTTAGACGGCCTTTTTTCCCCTGCCCTTAAAGGAGTAAATTTTTATCATTTTAGCGTTAATGTCTTAAGTTTTTTGCTGCCCTAACATTTTCTTGGCTTACTAAAAGAGTACTTTCTTAACGTCACAAAGTACACATTAACGGTCGAATTTAGTCTTGCAAATGCTACTGCATGCTCACGAAGACTTTAGTTAACACTACCTCACTAGACAAGCTTTCCCTGCAGGGTATTGTGAGAAAAAAATATTCAGAAGTTTTTTTGCATTTACATACTTGTGTATGTATGTATGTACGTACATATGTATGCATGTTTATATGTATTAAAATCATCAAAAAGGAAAATGTTGCTTTTTAGTGGAAAAGCTAGCTCTAAACTGTCTTCAGCTACACCCTTGCTACCAAAACAAAGTTCGGCCTTATTGTCTTCCAACTGGAAATTTGAGGACGACTGTCTCGAGCTCGGTGTGCTACAATTGACCAACATGCTACTTATGCATTACCGCTGCCCGCTGCTTGATGCCACTTTCATCGCCCCTTGCTGGCTTCATGCATAATTCAGCAGCACATTCTGAATGATTATTCTTTATGGGACTGTTTATTTCATCTGACCATTTATTTCATTTTTCTTCGAGTTTGCCTTTTTTCGCTCACATATTTTTATTTTTTTTATTTTACATAACAAATAAATATGTACATATACATACATATGTATGTATGAACATATTTTCCTCTTTCTTCCTCTGGCACTTCTAAGATTCATTTTTGGCAGCTTTGGCTCCAGCTTCGATTTTCACTACTTGGAGGATCATTTACGTTTTTTGTTATGTGAGCGCTGGTGGATGAAGTGGGATGTATCATAATTTTTTTTTTCTTTAAATTTTTGGGGAAGAAAGCTTCAGTCACTTTCTTACAACGCGTCCTCCAAAGCCGATGATACGCATATCCACGATTTAATTTTTGCATGCCGGCCGCAGTGGTGTAGTGGTAAGCAGTGCGTGCTTCCACTCCGCAGGGCCTGGGTTCAAGCCCTGGTCAAAGCAATATTGCAAAAAAAATGAAGAAAACAGTTTTTACTTAACTGCGGTCACCCCTGGGCAGGCTATGGCAAACCTCCGAGTGTATTTCTGCTAAGAAAAACAGCTTCTCATAAAAATACCGTTCGGAGTCGGCGTAAAACTGTAGGTCCCTCCGCTTTGTGTGACAACATCAAGGCGCACGCCACAAGTCGGAGGAGAAGCTCGGCCGAACACTAACATATGTGAAAGCGCCAATCTATTATTATTATTATTAATTTTTGTATGAGACGTGGAATTGCCTGAGTAGCTCATGGAACTTCAGAGCAATGTCATCCAAGCAGTCGCTTCATAATCCACACTTTCTGTTTCTACTAATACTATGTACAATGACTCAAACAAATGACAACGTGTTGATTTTATTAAATATTCGTAATGCATTTCGAGAAAAATTTTTGTTTGTAATATTTTTTTCCAGAAATACCCTGGAAGCTTTAACCAAAACCACAGTTTTAAACTTAACACAAAATTTGGGAAAATTCAACAAATTTCATTAAAATTTCAATTTTCTAAACTGAGCCATTAGAACAAAAATTGCGTTGATTTTAGAGAATTTTTTTTTACAGACTGGGGTTCATTTCTTTTTTTAATTTTGTTGCGAACGGTCGCCCGCATTGTATTTCATAAGAAAAAAGCGTAAAAATCCGTACTCAAAAAAAAAAAAATCTCAAGAATCAACGGGATTTTTTAGCCGTTTGAAACTTACACTTCGTCAGACTAAAATTGTGTGGGCTATTAAATTGCATACCAAAAAATGTTCTAGAGGTTCGCAATTTAAAAGTTGAAATTTTTATAAAAATTTGTTAAATTTTTTATAAAGTGTGAAACTGTGTTTTATATTGTTTTGGTTAATGCTGGGACAATATTTTGATACGAAAATAACAAAAAAATTTTACTCGAAAAACATTATGAATATTTAAAAAAAAAATGAGCACGTGACCACTTGTTAGAGTGGTTGTATGTACATACTTTCCAAAAAATTGTCAAGTATTTTTGTTCACATCAAGTTGTTTTATTTCGTTTCACTGAATACTGAGGTATTTTAAAGCCAAAATATTACCGCGTTGATAATAGTTTGTTTATGGATATAATTTGTATGGACAGTGGTATTGGATAGGCTTAATGTTAAAAACAAATTCCATTAATGATATGCGTTACATAAAAATATAAACTAAAGCTATGGAATCGACAAATATTTGATACCCAAACGAAAACTTTAAAAAGTGTAGGCATTCCCAGCAAAGCTCGGACAATCTTATAATTATATTATTTATTTTTTATTTTTTCAGACAATTGGTATTGAAATCTTAGTCATGAGCGATTAGGTACTGTTGCACCTAAACGAATACTTTAACAAGCAAAACTGCCATGGCATGTCATTCAAGAAAAAACTATGCACCCACAACGAGTCGCTATTTGATGTCGGGTTCTGGGCTGGTGGAGTGATCCGGGGGTAATTGTTCGAAAATGATTACAACAAACTTCTTATGACCTGAATTAGATGGCATGGACCTGGAAAATATGTGGTTTCAACAGGGCAGTGGCACTTGACACACTTAGGCCGATATCTTGCGATTTGACACCTTTGTACTTCGTTCAATGGGGTTAGGTACCCTGTATCTGGAATTTTAATAGAATTACTTACAATTTTTCATTAAAAGCGATTCGATGAGTTAACGATTATTTAACATGCTTCGGTGATCGGGCTTATTTTACACCTTTCGATATGCAGATTTTGTGTATTTACAATGAAATTTTTGTGAACTATTTCCTCAAATTTTCACAATTATCAAACTATCCCATGATTAGCTAATCATAACTTGGATAAAACGTACATGCCCATTTTAGCTACTGGAAGGATAATCAACCACGGGTTAAGAGTAATGTTAATCAGACCTTGAGCAAAGACTGAAGAATTTTCAATTTTTTAGTTAAATTACGGTAAAAATTTCAAACGATGAGATGTTGTTCAAACAAAATTGGGTTTATATATTGAAAAATATTAAATTATTCGAAAGATGAATCCTTCGAGACATTCGGGGCATGACGTATGTATGTATGTTGGCATAACGTGACTTGGCATTTTTCGCTTGAAAAATATATATTTTTGCAAACGATAAAACCAGATAATTGTTCACAACTAGGCTTAATTATGTAACATTAATTTTTTAAGTAACAGAAAAATCGAGTTTCCTTAAAATTTCTACTTTCTCTGCATTTCGAACTAAAAAAATTAATATAAAAGATTGAAAATTTTAAAATCGGGCTCGACAAGTCTGTTCTAAATTTTATTATCTTTCATTAAAACAATTAATACATTCAATTATCCGGACTATTTTGAATAGTAAATTCCAGTTTGAGACCACTGTGTGAGGCACACGTAGGCTGAAAAAGACGGTTGCGATACTACCGACAACAGGCCCTCTTGCTTATGAAGTCTGATTCGATACGAATATTAACATTAAGTTTTTAATATGCCGTATATTAAAGAAAAAAGTTTTAAAATTAACACTATACAACTCCGATAAAAACATGAATATGTGTATGTAGTCCTTAAAATCGTTGGCCCATAACTACATACCAAGTCTCTGGTTGGTTGTAATGATGTGCGAATTGAACTTATCAATAGATATTCACTATATGTATGTGCATCCACCTGTACATATGCACATATGTAAGTTCGTATGTAGAGGCCTTGGTGCGATTGAACTGTATGGCAATTTACAAAGGATTTTCGGCAGAACGACGGGACAAGTATCTTCGCATTCCGAGAGAAATTCTAAAAAATCATACCAGCGGGCATTATCTTCTCAAACCCAAGTGGCCCGCAATGTAATGCCCACAAAGAGTATACAAAACAGTGTTGCCACAAAAAATTACCAAATTCCTCAAAAACAAGTTAAAAATCCTCAAAATCCGAACAAATTATTCAAAATGTTCTTATTAAAGATATGGTATATTGTATACTGCATACTATTTACAGGTACTTAGTATAAAAATTAATTACGTTCTCCAATTCAATTGGTACATTTGTTCCGTTCAAAAAAAGTAGCACCGTTATTTTGTATGCCTTGGTTTGTATATAATATTGCTGCAACTATATCAGTGCTCAATCTGGTCCTCAAGTCAGTCCTACACATTTTTAAACTACCAAATACACGTTCTACTGAAGCATTAGAAACGGGCTATATTAGTAATGCAGATATAATTCTTTTATTTGGGGAAACTTATATAAATCTGAAGAATCTTTTAATTCAAAAAATGTTCTCTACAATTTTCTGGATCTAATGAAGAATCAATATAAATATCCTTATGATCGAACAATGCGTGTTCTCTCCATTCGTTACCGAGATTTTGCAAGTTCAAAATAAGTTGAAAATATAACGATGGGATGAAACAAATTATCGATAACATTATGAATATTTAGCAGCAAACGCAGATGTGCTTAAGAGCGAAAAACACCAAACACGGGGCTTGACAAACCAAGCCGAAATATCCCTTTGCTTACATATATTTATTTTGTGTGGGGGTGTTTGAAAATTTGACAAACCGTTTGAGGGAAATGTGAACAGAAATCAAATTGAACGATTTAACAACTGTGTTGTGTAGAACATGGTTGCATTTGTTAACTGCAAATATATCGAGAGAAAATTCCTCAAAATGAAAATCCTCAAAAAATATTAAAGCGGTACCTGAAATTCCTCACGTTCTGAGGAAGTACTCACAAAGTGGCAACACTGATACAAAAATACGTACATACTATAACTATATACATACTATAGATATATGCATGTATGTATCTCCCGGAATAAGCAGCGCACTAGATACTGTTTTGGCAATATCATACGATTTTATTATACGTGCGCGCATTCATAACAGGATACATACCCACATCCATGCATTCGCCCATTTGTACAAACATATACTTACATATATGCATTTACGTGAGTGGGGGGATGCATGTACATTAGCGTGGTCCAAAAATACACTTGAAAAAGTAAAGTCGGAATTTGTATGCTCTCACCCCCTAGGATGGTTCTATACCGAAAAAATATACCCCTATTTTTTATTTTAAAGTCAAAAGATATTTAGAGGTCGCTCAAAGCGCCCAAAGTTTTCCATGTATTTTTATAATGGGGGAAAGAACCATTTTTCGTAGAACTGGTATGGAATTCTTAAAAATCAATATTTTTCTATCGGATTACTCTGTTTCTCTGCAGCAGATTCCCAATAATAATACTCAATTGTTTATTTAACCATTTTTTCATCGCAACTATAATTTATAGGTCCGCCAGAAACTCTCAAAACCCTGAAAAAATGAGGGGACTAATAAAAAATCGTTAGTATCAAAAAAGTAGTTAAAAAAACAGTTATTTTTTTCCCCCATTATAAAAATACATGGAAAACTTTGAGCGATTTGAGCGACCTCTAAATATTTTTTTGATTTCAAAATAAAAAAATAGGGGTATACTTTTTTTCGATATAGAATAATCCTCGGGGGGTGAGAGCATTACAGTTTCGAATTTATTGTTTTTGGACCACCCTAATGTATGGTATGATTGTATGTGGTATGTGGTAAGATGTTATTGCTTGTGCGGTCGAAGTGGCCAAATAAATTTTATTTGTTTTTCTCCACAATTGAATAAAATGTTCTTTTAATGTTCTGCTGAAAAGTTCCAATCGCACTCAAGCTAGCTGGTGTTTTATTACAGTGGGGATTATGATGATGGCTAGCACACATTTCGTAGATGTTTGGCTCCAAGGCAGCTAGCTATGTTGTTTGACTATTGGACAAATGGCGCCTTCGCTGACACTATCGCCATCGGCAGCTAACTGGCCAATCGTTCATTGTTTTGATAATCATTTTTATTTGGTTATGTGCATTTTCCTTTTATTGCTTTTACAGTTAAATGTTCGTTCGCCTGGAAATACTTTGGATGGATGCATATGTTAAGCATTTGCCAAAGGCTTTTAACCAATTTTTGGCTATTTCTTTTTTTGGTTTAGTATCAATTGCTTGCGCAGATTTAGAATATAAAATTGCTTTATTGAAAGGATGTGGTGAGTACTTATGTATGTATGTGCCTGCATGTATAGTTTTATGTATGTATGGTACCTGGGATCCCGAACTGTTTTCTATGTCCTGGAATCGCGGGATTACAGCTTCGGGAGCCTGAGATTTTTAATGAGTTTTTTT